CCAGGTCAGCAAATAAACAATAATCCAATTATTGTGATCCAGGGGTCTTCTTCTGAACAGTTCCCGCATATAATAGATTTCGAAGATGGTCTGAAATGTTTTGGTACCAGAGTTAGCACATGAGACTCGCGAATGACCGCTGCAAGCGCGAGCGAAAGCAGAAGAGAGTCGAAGCACGTGTCCACGTTTCTATTGCGTAAAATTGTACGAGTGCGCGTTTTTGTAGTTTTTCGTATTCAAACAAAAACGATTATGCAGCTGACAAAATACCTAGTGTTATAATGGAAGCAAAATAAAGGTACAAAACACCACACAGCCTATTTCTCTCTATGGACAGACGTGTAACGACAGAGTGTACTGTAAGTTGATGCGAGTAGAAACAATATAAGGTATTTTGGTTAAGATGGGCTTGTTCCAGTGGCAAGTGCCAGTGAAAAAGTGAACACCGAGATTACACTGAATGACCTTGACTCGAATGCCTGCTTTATAGTTGTTGTCTTTCAAATGAGAACTCCGCCCTGTTTTTTTCCAGCAAAAGATTGACTGTTAATTGTATGAATAAGGACTGAATAGCTATTTGGTTCACTTTCATCCAACCATCCTTGTTCGGTCGCTAAAATGAAGCCCTCACCAAGATGCAGCCTGAATTCCGTTGAGCCGATTTTTTATGGAGCGACGCGGCGTTGGGAGTACACGACGAAAACACGGCTGTGCTCGACAAATTAAAACAAAACAAACAACAAAACTATCAGAAACTTAAGTCCCCGGGTGCTTCTGTCTTTTCCTGTAGATGGGGGTCAATTTTTGACCTTCTAGGGAAAATTTTCTAGGGCGGGAGTGATTCGTTTTTGTCGAAGGCCTTCTGTTATATCTTTGTCGCCCTGTGGTTTTTTCATTTGTTTATAATCCCTCATTTTTCTTTTACAGTTGTGGTGAATCAACCGCAAGTCCAGCAAGTTATTGTGACCAGTCTTGGTCCGGGGCCAACCTCGACCCACTGCCCTGGGTGTAATCAGCAGGTCGTCACAAGAACCTCATACGAAACTGGAGCCCTTACTTGGATACTGTGTGTAGTCATTTTTATTTTCGGGTGAGTCAAGTCCTCGGGTCACTAACCAATCGCAGGTCGTCACAAGAACCTCATACGAAACTGGAGCCCTTACTTGGATACTGTGTGTAGTCATTTTTATTTTCGGGTGAGTCAAGTCCTCGGGTCACTAACCAATCTCCATCCTCCTACTTCCAAATTCTTTTTTCCTGGTTAGTAGAAGTCTCGCGGAGGTGAACTCTTCCAATAGTGCTGCATTTCCGTTGCACTTATATGGCTGTCGTGGAACACCTAGAAGGGGCATAATTAGTTACCAGCACCAGGATTGTCGCTAGCTTTTTGCTGAAGGCGTCCATATGTCAATCGCTTTTGAACGGACTGATTGGACCCAACCAAGCGGTTCAAATTCGCAAAGCGTGTGCTGGTTAAACAACGTTTAACTGGGAATACACTCATTTGCAAATCAATTTGGTTTTCACGAGAGACTGAATCTCTCGTTTATGATGTTCTACAACTGAATGTACTGCACACAGGCCGCCTCGTGTTTCAGTTGGTATAATATTCGAGATATCGCAGTATATTTTCATGAAGGGAACCACCCAGTTGAGTCCCTCGTGGAAACCAGATTGATTTGCAAATGAGTGTATTTCTCGAAAACAGTAGAACATAAGGTTGACGGAAACTCGGGGACTGTGCCTACCTGATGAGCCCCAAGAAGGGCGAAACCGGTCGTGGGCTGTCGAACAGTTTTCAGCAACCTTGTGAGTACTTTCCTTCATGAAAACGTTTAACTGGCTTCAAAGGAAAATGACCGGATTTGAAACTCGAAAAAGAATGCCCATATATGTTCTACTGATAAGTTCCCGAAAGAGCAAAACTCAAGGGTGCTCAAATCAGCACATCGGGATGGGTACAAAAATGAATGACTGGGAAATTTCTATAATCTGTGAGTTCACTGTGAACAGTCGAAATGATCCTTCCCTATTAGACAAGTCCTGCACGATCGTAGTCAGTGTGCACGCTCGGCGTTGTCATTACTTTTATTCTTATTTTTTGAACTAAGTGCATTTTAGTTGAAGTTTGTTCTGTCCTGAGGACCAACTGGACTCAGATTGAATTTAAATAATTGACAACCAATGGATGCTTTAAAACATAGGAATTTGTTTCGGACTCCGGTGGCACATCAGCTAACGGAGTGCATTTGATGTGGCGAATTCGCTACGTAAAAACTTTCCTCCAAGTTCAACTGTCTGCTCAGATGATAAAGGGTTTGGTTAGAGACAATCTGATAATGAAAAATTGGTTTTGTCTGGCAGTAGTCTGATGCCGTAAATCCGACAGTTTAGTCTTAAAGAGCTATTGTTACGGAGAGCTATCTAACAGTTAACTCAACTATAATGGGCAACTGAAAATCAGAAGATTCATTTTAGAAATTCCTAGGTTTAGGTCTCCCCATCAGCCCATTGCCCTAACATTCCACTCCATCAAGTGAGTCGTATTCACTGATGCCCCGGACTATCCCTTTTGATGTATCAACTTCGTTCGGAGGATGCTGACGCTCTCACAGTAGGCAGGTTCTCCTTCAGAAAGAATGACTCAGAAGCCGTGATTCACTGAATTATACAATAAACAGTAGAACTATTGGTAGTGCGAAGGAGATTCCGTCCCGAATGTGAGTCCAATCTATGCTGAAAGCTGATAAGCCCTGGTACAGCTGTTTCATCCCTATTGGGAATCATGAGCAGTGCACATCTCACGAAACTCCGGAGAGTCTCAAACCCTCGACCTCCTGGCTAGTAGTTTGAACGCTTAACCGTTCAGCCGCGGGCGGCTGATCAGCAGTGTGATCAACTCGTACTTAGACAGGATACAGCGGCGCTCATTATTCAATTACGGGATCCATATCACGCGGTCACACGTGTTGGCTGGCTCCAACACACACGACGTACAATTTGCTAAGTCACTCAGCTTTGACTTGGCTGTAATTCCTTGGTATCATATACTTCTGCATTTTAGGGCTTCCGTCTGTGTAGGGACGTCGTTATACCTTGTACGAGGCCGCCGTCCCTCTAGACTTATGAGCTTTGTGCTTTGTAACCACTGTCATTCCTTCGTTGTCTTAATAACTGCAGTGAAATCATGCCCGTCGCCAGTTGACCCTTCCCCGTCCAACTGAAACCAATTATTTGATGCGCTTGAGGGACCTTCTATTTTACAACATACATTGAGTTATCATCAAAAACTTACGTAACATGGGGTGGAATGTTGATTGCTCGGGGTTTTTTCATTTTGTGAACTGATTGTCCTATGAGCTTGGTTACTGTGTAGCCGACCGTCTATCAGTAGTCATGGTTACACTATTATTTCATTGTTATGCATCGGAGCAGAGCGCTGAGTCAGTAAAAGTTCACTTTCGAACCTATGAGGGGGATGATCCTTCAACATGGCAGGTCGTTTGGATGGGCGACCTCAAAGTTTGCATCGTTCGCTGGTGCTGTGTGATTGGCCAACGCCCAAATGATATCTGAACCGGAACTCTGTGCTCGGCGAAAGAAATTGAAATAATTGATTTGTAAATGAGTGTATTTCTCGAAAACAGTGCAATTTGGGTTCAAGTAGATTATAAGGTTGATGGAAACTCGGGGACTGCGCCTATCTGACGAGCCCAAAACATAAGGGCGAAACCGGTCGTGGACTGTCGAAGAGTTTTCAGCGACGCTGTGAGTAGTTTCCTTTGTGAAAATTGGAAGAACCTTCTGAAAAGGGGCAGCTTCGCCAACCGAAAAAGGAAAACAACTAACACCTAATGCCTCCACTAGTTCCACGGCAGTCTGGGTTGGTGGAATCACCTCCTGTTGAAACCCTTATTCACAGGCTAGCTTCTCCTGTATTGGTCTACATGTTTCGGCTGCATGTTTCCTTTTGGGATTGCCTTCTTAACATCCACTGAGCGGTCGTGGTCCAGATGACATATCTAGTCCCCCGACAGGCACTTGCAACATGCTGCCGTTGTCTGGATGGGCGACTAACTAATGGGGAGTAAACCAATTTGAGTCTGGAAGTAACACACTAGCAAGATTGTTGAAAACTCTTCGACGGCTCACAATCGGTCTCACCTTTCTTGGGTCCCATCAAGTAGACGCACTCCCAGAGTTTCCCCTAGGCTTGAGTTCCACCTGAACCCGAATTGGACAGAATCCGCCAGGTACCCTCATATGCACATTAATTTGGCTTTGAATCAACTGGGAGAATCAACTGAATGTTTCCTTGATGGAGTTCTTCAATTGAATAGGCTGTAGCAAACTTAAGGGTAGTTTCCTTCAATTGAAACACCAGGGACCTTGTGCAGCACATTCATCTGATGAACATCATAAGCAAAAGACTAAGTTGGATGAAAAGGATTCTCCGGTTAAAACCAAATCCGTGCACACAAATGTCTAGTTGGTGGGAAAACTTTTAAGATTCTAATAAATGACCCAGAAAACTTCTACAAGTTTCAGAAACAATGTTTTTCAAATTCAGAAAGTGAGGAGAACCCATCCCACAATACCGCTGACCTTTTTATCCCTCGAATTTCTACAGAACGCACAGGATTATTTATGTTCACGATTTACTCCACTTTTCAGCGGTTTCTTTGGCTGCTGTCTCATTCCATTTTGTGTTGGAAGTTGTCGAGATGTGGTTCATCACTGCCCATATTGTAAGCGGTCTCTTGGGGCCTATAAACGTCTGTAGATATGAACATGATACCGCACAATGTTCAAAAAGAACATGGTTTCATTAACCTTTATTGATTTTTTGTCTTTACTTATGAAACAGCGCCATGTGCGCCAACGTCAACTCCGTTCCGCGCGTGCACTAATTTTTCTCGCATCTTTGGGTTGTTTTATCTGATTTTGAATAATAATTTTTGCTTATCAAACATTTGTTTAATTTTGTATGGATAACTGGCTGTTGGATTCTTTCTGGACTGAACGTCCACAAATGTGTGACCACGGAGCTATCCGACGTGAATGACACGATGCCAACCAAGTTCATGCGTACTTGGGGAACCAAACTATCCTCTCAGAATATCTGACACTTTAAGATTCGTCCCCCCGAAGGTTTTTGTCTCGTGATGTCCTTCTTGATCATGGTTAAGCCATACTTTAAATCTAAGGAGATTTAGATGCGTTTGATAACGGCGCTCGGGTAGTTTTGGTGGGCTTCGTTCTGTAAGCCCATTACCAAAGCCTTCTCATGTGTCGGCGGACTTCCGAGGATGACCATCCCATGAAAAGTGCCCAATCGTTCGCCCCCACTCCTTCCCGGGTTCGTCTAGTGCATAAATGGGTGGAATGATGGTTACCATGGCAGCCGTTACTATGGCTTGAAAATCCCGTATGCCACCTCCGCAAGCAAGCACTGTCTTCAGTCTTGTGGAGAATTCCGCAACACTAACCTAGTAAGCTGATGGAAAGATCGATCTATGGGGAAAAAGCCAGTTGCAAACTAGTTATTACCTCTAACTCGAATACAATGCAATACAATACAAGTGCAGGCAACACCGTAAGTCTATAGACACCATTCGCCAGCAAGAACGGGAGATTTTTAGCCTGTGAGTGAAAAACTGCTTACTTGTGACCTTGGTCATGAAAGATGTAGAGAATTCCCAGGGTTATTGCAAGCGCCAGATATAGGATCATTCAGGAACCCGTTTGATGCCTTGTGAAACGGTCCGAATCCCGTGAATCTGAGATTTTGCATACGGTACTATGCATTCAGAAGTCATGGTGTCCCGAGAGCTTTTCAATGACCTTGAAAAACCACACTAAAGAAACGACTTTTGTTTGTCCCTCGAAGGCATACCTCAGCGGTGAAAAACCTCTGAAGAGCAGTACTCACTCAAAGACATTCGATCCCTTTTAGTTTCTCGAGATGGAGGAAACTGTATGGATTACGTATCCTCGCAAGTTTTAAGTTGTGCAAGCATTTCTATTTCAAATCAAAGCACATCGTCAACTTGGGCAACAGAAGCCCTAAAATACGGAATAGAAAAACAAATTTGCTGAAGGTTTTGAAAAAGTCTGGGGATAATCGGTAGATTTATTGCTGGGTAACGTTTCGCTTTTGACACAAAAGCTTCGTCAGACCAAGTGACTAGGTTACGAAGTTGGTCAAGATTGGAGGCGGAAGGAGAACCAATCAGCTAATTCAACCTAAATCTCTGTTAGGTGTCGGCCGAGGGATTTTTTGTGTTAGGGCCGACGAGGAAACCTACATGGATTTGGGTCCAGCCTAGGGTCTAGTTTTTCTGGTTCGGTTCACGTGATGTTTCCCTCTTGAAAGTAGTTTGCACTTTCCGTCTGTTTGTGTGAATGAGCTAGTGCTACGAGAGTTGTGTGAAGAAAAGGGTTTCTGTGAACTTTGGTCAGGTTGGGATTTCCACCCCCCCCCCCCCGTCTTTGCAAATGATTCTACGTCCATTGACAACCTCACAGTCACGTGTCAACTCGGCTTCCCATACGCTCGCCAGTTCCACATCCCCGACTGTGTTCACGCTGTGATTCCTCGACTATCAGCCGCTGTGGTATGAATCGCAGTCCTCGTCTTGAAACGTCCACATTATTTAGATCTATTCAATGTCCCATGTCTAAGGCATGTCCAACGCCATCGCTGAGTCTTTGACCAGCGTTTGCTATTCTTCTGCACTCCTTGACGGTTTGTTTATCCTCCTTTTATGCTCACCAATTCTGGTGTGCAATTCGCTGACAGTTTATCCTATGTAAACCTTAGTGCGATCGTTGCAGTTAATTTTATACACACAGTCCCTAGTCCTTTCAACCTGGAGGGGATCTTTCAGTTGCACCAACAATGAGCGTAGCGTTTTTCCCTTCTGGAAAGCTACTCAGCAGTCATGGAATAACCTGTTGTTCCTGCTTTACATGGAATGACTGTTGTGCCAATCCATTCCTTACTGGCCTAGATACCGGAGCCAATATCCTTTTTAGTTGATGCCTAATCAAACTCACTGGATATCCTATTTCTTGAAGTCTGTCAGTAGTCTTGATCTGAGCTGCCTTTAGGTCGATCACTTCGGTGCAAAGGCGCTCTGACGAAACATTAGTGAGATAGTACTGGTGCGTACGGATTTTGGGCGTGCTGATGAGTAGTTTAGGACCGTTCCCGTGTCTGTTGATTTTTGGTAGATAGTCATTTTCAATTTCCCACCAATCGTGTGTGTTATACAGTCCAGAAAGGGTAATGTGCCCCAAGTGGACTCTATCTCCATGCTAAACTTAATATACGAGTTTAAACTATTGAAATAGTCGTGGAAGCTGTTCACGTTATCTCGTTTGATTACAACAAAAGTATCGCCCATATAAAACCAAGAAACTTTCGGTGTTCAATGGGTTCCGGCCAAGGCCATTTTTTCGAAGTCCTCTATATAGTATCGATAGTAGCTAAAACTGGGGATACTGGAGATCCCATTGCAAGACCTTGTTCATGTGAGCAAACTGTTATGTCAAAAGAAAGTTGATCGAGATTCAAACGCATTCTTATGCCCTCAACTATTTCACCCACCGAGAGCTGTGTCGTGTCTGCCAGTAGCAAACTCTTCGTTACCTCTAAGACGTCTGCCCTACGGGTGTTTGTTTGAGATTACGTCAAAACTAACAAGGAACTCGTCCATTTCTAAAGGAAGCCATGCGATCTTATTGGCAGAGTCGTACGAATTCCTAATGAAGGTGCTTGGTTTCCCCGTGAGTGGTTTTAGTATACTAGCTAGTGCAATCACTACACAATTTTGTAAACACAATCCCTGGTTCTGTTTGCCGAGAGGTGTTCCTTCACTTGCCCCAGTTCAGAGCGCAAAGTTTTTCCCTCTGGAAAGCTATTCTCATGTTAGCTGTGTTGAATATTCTTCGGATAATGTTGTGTCTTCCGCACCAAATACGCTTGGGACAATGTGTGTATTGAAATATCCCAATCTTAACTCGTGCCTCAAAAGGCACGCCGTTCAACCATCCTTGTGCAGTACGTTCCATCAAATCAGACAACTTCTCTAAATTTCGGATCCATTTCGCCAGGAATCGATACTGTTATTTGTAGCAACTCATCAAATTGGCAACGAACACTACTAAATTTTTCTGGTAAAAAAAATCAAGTATGTTTTTAGGAGCAAACTATCACAAATTTACCGTACAAATTTATGTACAGAATTCCTCCACTCTGCTCAGAGCGTGACTTATTTGTGTTCTCAAGAGCATCAACGCTGATCAGTATCAGCCACTACGGTGAACCTACTGAGCAGCGCTCAAAGTCAGCCACTTCACTAAATCTGTTTACGAGCCATTATTCTCCTTTGTTGCTTACCAAGAATAAGATATGGACTCACAACTTTCAGATTACTGCTTTGCATACAATGAGTCTAATTAGTTAATAAGTTAGGGGGAATATACGGAAATCAAATGTCACCAATGTAAGTTTTAGTATCTCCGAAAAATTTGCACCGTATTAAGAGTGTACTTTCCAGGCATGGATGCTCTCCGCGGCAACAGAATCAGGTTGCCAGTCGCCTACCTGTACAGTTCATTATTCATGTGATTATATGTAGGAACCATGCGTGGGACCCGTGAACCGTCTATTCCAGGCACCTATGTAACGCCAGTAGACTGAGCCTGAGAACTCACTTGACAAGAATTGCACACCGATTTTAGGCAAGTTAATCTGCTTTTGAACGCGCACGACATAATTCATGAAAAATAAATATCCGAAAATTATTAGGCTACTTATTGAGTTTTTTCTTCTACGTGGATGCATAAAAGGACTCCGGCACTTCGTTAAGAAAGTAATATTTTACCCATATACGGCTTTCGCACAGTTTCACCCACAGTTTTTTAATTTTACTGAAAATGTATTTTACCCATATACGGCTTTCGCACAGTTTCACCCACAGTTTTTTAAATTTCACTGAAAATGTAAATAGGCTGCGCGAAGGAGAATTTAATATTCCGGGAATCCGACAGTTCTTTGATAAATGTTTTATGATCATTTTGACAATTGGTTTTTTGCGCCAGCATGCGCCGAATTTGCCGCCAACTACAATTATCGCGTCATTTCATTAATATTATTATTTCATTCTCGTACCATTCGCGTTTTGCGCATGGTCGAGCCAACATAGCTTTACTTAATGATATTCACCTGGAGACACGCACGTCCATTGACGTGCAGACAAGGGATCGGCAAAGGGTATTCGCCACCAACTCCTGAACACTTGCCAAAATATACATACTACTTACTACATTCAAGTAACTAAGTTAAAAAAACAGAATCTCGGTCAGCGAGAATTTCAACGAACGCTGGACACTTCAGTAGAGAACACTAGAAGTGAAAGGAGGAATGCCCTTCGGTACGAAGTTGATTAACAGCAAATGTCATGTAAGCAGCTACAAGCCACTGGACACGAAGGTAAGCATTCCATCTGAACAGTTTTTTGAAAGTGAACATTCTCCATCATTCTCCGGAACTTTCTTGGACGTTCAGTGAATATTAGGCAATGGTAAACGAACACTTCAAAGCGGTTCCGAAATTTCAGTAGTGACGTCCACCTTCTATCGAATGGGGGCGAAGCTTGGGTATCTGGCCATGGATTACTTGCTTGTTCCATCAGTAGTATACACCATTACAAGGGCAGTAACAGACAAACGTACCCTTTAGGGTAGATGTGTTCCGTGTCACGTAGAGAAAAACTGGACAAATCGTTTGGCAGGTCAAACCAAGACGAGTTCGGGGTAGGGCTTTGGGAAAGTGTCTTTGAGTTGCTTCATTCGGATTGGCTTCTTATGATGGACGGCTATACAGCAATCAGCAGTCTTGTTGACGGCTGTGATTGTTTATATCTGTTTTGGTTGTGCATCCGACCGCAGGCAAACGAACG